CTTGAAATGCTCCCAAAAATGGCTCCACAGCATGTAAACATATAATATAAGCTCTGGCGGACTTGGTTCTATGGTAGGTCTTAAAGGGTTAAAGGAGTTTTTCTTTCCCACTGTTGCCAAGTGCTTGTGCACAAGGGGTCGTCTGATGTTGGGTTTTCTCTGTTATTGTACTGTATTGTATCGAGATGATTAATGAACTGGTTTAGAATAATAAAAAACTAGCCATTAATCGATGTAATATTTAGCTTTTTTTAAAGGTTATATGGAGGAGTGCAGTGTGTGTGCGATGTAACCTCTCTGTCCAAAGCAAATTTCTCCCAAGGAAGACAAATAAAGATGCTTTGACTTTTTTTGAGTCGTCTTCTTACAGCATTAAGTGCCTCGAGGCGACTGTTGTGATTGGGCGCTACATATGTTCCAGCTTTCAACCTGCATGACTCACCTGGAAGGAGAGCGGAGTGACGGCCTGCCACACATTGAAGGCTTGTCGAATCGCTCTCTGGGTGTCCTTCTCTCCAACTTTGGGGGTGAAGTTGGATATGCTGCGAGACAGAAAAAGACGCCACAGTTCAAATAAACAGCGTTCCCACATTCACTGTGAGGTGAGCAGAGGTCGGCGAATGCGGCTGTGATGATTGTGTTGCCTGTAAAACCTGTGCGCACGCGCAACGTGTGCAAGGAAGCATCGGCTAAAACAACAACGACAATAAAAAGTGTCTTTGTTGATGCAAAGATCCAGACCTGTGCACGCTTTAGTAAAATCAGCGGATTGGGATTCAGTGTGAGTCAACGAGCAGCACGGTTGGCACGACGGCTGATGCGTGTTCGGCTGGAAGAGACGAGCGAGGCAGAAAGGTCATTATAGAGTAATTGCAGGAGACGATGTGCCACCCATAGCTGCTGCTGCAAGAGAGGATGGGAGGTATATCATTACATGTTTTATCACTCACTTCACTGTCACTGGAAACACTTTCATGTAGCGTCTTTAAAAGCAGCCTTTTAAACCTTTGCTGTCACCTTCCAACCGTGTCGGAGGAGACAGGAGAGCGAGTCGAGGCGCGAGGGAGCGAGGACAGATGGGAGTAATTGGCAGAGAGGGTGGAGGATGGAAAAGAAAAGCCAGGACAGGAGAGGGAGAGCGAGGAAAAAACAGCAAAGCAGGCGGCTGAGTTCATTTCACACAATCTGTCTCTCGACGGGGGAGCAAAGGCTTTGTTCCCGACCAGAAACACGCATTATGGAAATAAATATCAGCACATTTACACAGTTGCTGCAACTCCACATTCATTCATGAGCACAGCAGCTTCCTGATGTGAGAAAAATAAGTCCAGCTGGCAAAGAAATAGAAATGTTTATAACACTTTACAGGTAGTCCCTG